CCTGATCCTGAAATTCGATTGGTCAAAATTACAGGGGGTGAACAATTTTTTTGTGCAAACAAAGAGGGGTGCAAACCAAGAGGGGTGCAAACCAAGAGGGGTGCAAACCAAGAGGGGGATGACGTTAAACAACTATTCAACTTTGAATGGGCTTATTATTAAATCATTAATGTTAGAAACTGGAATTTTCACATCCTTGGCCAACAAGTAAATATTTCAACCATATAACCATATTTTTTAACCATATAAAATTCTTTACGTCATATACAAGGTCATGTACGTAGAAGGTTGTGGAAATGCCAGTTCCCTTAACACAAAGATACCAATATTTAAATAATTTTTAGCATGTGAAATTATTTCGTGATCTTACGGAGATCTTACAGAGATCTTACAGAGTATGGCATAATCAGGTCACTTGCCAAATAATTTCAGTCATATAAAAAATAATAATAATAGTAAATATATAAATAATAGTAAATATAGACAAGTTTATAAAACCAAAGCAGTTTATCTACATAGTAGCGATACTGTATTACATTATATCATTATATCCGGTAAACTCATATGAAGTAAGTGAATAACGGTAATTTGGCAAATGAACACGTGCCGGTTTGGGCACGTGCAGCCAATCATTTGGCAAATTACAGGATGGCCAATAATTGGTAGGAAGTTGTCGTCGGCTGAATAAACACGATTACATCGTATAACATTAAAAGAAATTAATTTATGATCATAAATTTACATCATCTTGTTACGTGTTACGTGTTACTATGTAATTCATGTTTATTCAAATTAAAACTCAGCCAAAGACATTCTACCAATCAAGAACATTGTCGAAAACATTGTCGAATAATGGTAATTTGATAGAACCGGGCAAATGATTGGCACACGTGGCACGTGTTCATTTGCCCCAATTTTCCAAATTATATAAATAATTATATATATAAAATTAGAGTGTATATCAACGATAAGAATTAAAAATTAATCAAAGATCAAAATTTTTTGATACATTATATAATTTAAATAATTAATAAATTAGTAATTGGGGGATTTTATTTATTTATTTTTCATTTTCGATCAATTAACTTTAAGTTGGGTACAGAACCATTAAATATGTATTTAATGCATCACATGTAAACATTTGAAACAAAGTTGTAGGTACGTTATTCAAGATAGGTACGTACCAGGATGACCTGAACTCTAAAGAAATATTTTATGACCAAATGATTATATCGATATAACAATTATAACTTATTATAACTAAATTATTATTTATATACCACGATATATCGATATATGCACGCCACAATATGACATGCAGAGGATTAGTTTAAATCCTGGAGATGACCGAATAAATATATCAAAACTTTATCATAAAATACGAGATAATAACGAAAATTTAAATATTAGTTAATATAAAGGTAGTGTGATTTTTGAGAGGTATTGGTAATCAAACATACAGGTTCATAAAGTTTTACAATATATATATACATGATAAATGACGGAGGACCAAAGATTTTCGATTATGTAATATATTTAAGGTGAAAATCTAGAATTATAAACCAATAGGGGAGAATATCTTACCATAATAAACAAACCTAAATAAATAAGGAAAAGATCATTTAAATAAAGAGAAAAAAATTTTTTTTTGTTTATATGCTATGTACTAACGTAACATACTTTAATAAATTTATCTCCGGTATTTTTGTCATATTATCCATTCACAACAATATTTAAATTTAAATGTTGTAAATATTGATTTGTTAAATGATCTGTGTGATGATAGTTAATAATGTGAAATTTTCTAACGCAGATTTTTTAATACATGAATGGTTTGAATTTGAATATACTCATTACAAGTTAATTAAAGTTTATTTATTCATAATCTAGTCGTTATTATTGTTATTATTGATTATGATCAATTAGTAGTGATAATATTTTGGTGTGACTATCTTATCTTAATGATTCTGAAACATTTGAATGAAAGTAAAAAAGAAAAAAAAAAATTATATGGGAAGATGAAACCGTGTGGGAAAATATTAAAGATAAAAAAATGCAATAAAGAAAAAATAAGTTCATTTGTATAAACCAATTTGTTAGGACCACCGAATATCTCTTTCGTATTTAGTCGTATTTAGTCGTATTTAGTTACGTATTGACGCAACAATGATAAAATTTACGCAGTAAAACTTAATGGACGGTATACTTTTTTTTTTTTTTTTTTATTTTATTTAAGTACATTTTAAGTTCATATACATATATACATATATATATATATATATATATATATATATACATATACATCTACATATATATATACGTATATATATATGTATATGTATATGTATATATGTTATATATATATACACAGTTCATACGCAAATTACTAATAGCATATATAATTATTATAATTCCACCATAACCACCTTAGAATTTTTTTTTTTTTTTAGGAAAGGTACTTAATTACTGTAATTACTGTAATACAATTAAACTATATAACATAAATTGAAGATCGGGTCCCAAAGTTGGGGATATGAACCAGTCAAGTTCCCGAATGAAAAAAATAAAGAGGTTGACATATACAAAATATATACGTATATAGTAAGTAATATAACTGGAAAAATCTAACAAAAATTCCTTTCTTAATAGATATTTACAGAATATTACATTATATACAAGCTCTATCTAATTAATATGCTATTAAACGGCCGATTTAATAGTTTAACGACGAGAAATAGTCTCGATCACGGCCTGAACTTTATCCGAGCTTGCTGGTTTACCGATATATCCATTCTAAAATAAGATTAAAAATAAGATTAAAAATAAGATTAAAAATAATATTAAAAATAAGATTAAAAATAAGATTAAAAATATTGGCTTAAATATATAATATATTGTAACGATAATTAATGTTAATACTAATGCTTACCATGCCAGCATTTAAAAATCTTTCATCCCATTTATTAGTAGTATAAGCGAATATGGGGACTACTCTGTTTTCTTCCATAACATTATTCGAATTTCTTATCTTGATACTAGTTTCAACACCAGATAATTCTGGCATGTCAATATCCATAAATACAAGATCATAAACATTTTGTGACAATTTATTCAAAGCTTCATTACCACTCGATACACATGTTACTTGATGATTGAATTCTTTGGTCAGAATCTTTGAGAGGATTTTACCAGTTATTAAATTATCGTCAACTACTAATGATTTTATGGTTGTTTGAATTTTGGATGGTGTCGATTCGGAAATTGTCTTAATAGTGAATGTTGCTGTCATAATATTTGTCATGTTCTTATAGTTCGTTCGTTCGTTTCGTCTGTTTCGTCAGTTTCGTCTGAAGCGTTAATAAAGGGAATGTCAAATTCTCGTGCTATTTGCACTATTAGGTATCTAAAAAATGGTTCTTAAAGAGTATACTTCGTTTTGTTTTGTTTTAGTTTGTAAACACGTTAATATTTCAATCTAAATATTTCAAATTCTCGAGATCTATGAAATGTGGATTAAACATGAAACATATATAAGTACTAATGTAACAGTGGAGAAATCTCAAGAATTTTCTTTAAGAACTCGAAAGAAATAAATTAACTACCAGTTCTTTTTATATTTTTTTTTTCTCTTTTACGGATTAGCATCATTTCCTTATCTGTAATAGTTTGATTTTTTTCCATGACCTTTATACACCCGTTTTGTTCCACTACAGTGCTAGATAAACCTCGTACCTTATGTCATACTTATTATATTGTTTAATAGTCGAGATCAAGTGATATACTGATTTGGGGTATTGAATATTAACGTTATTACGCATTACAGTAAATTTGTATCACGAATATGTTATCATCATGAACGTGCTGCGAATGTGTAAATTCTATATAACATATAAACCATATAAACCATATAAAATGTAAAATGTAAATTCTATATAAACTATATAAAATGTACGTACTGTACCAACAGTGTGCGGCGTTCAAATGAATTGCTTTGTAGAACGTTTAACAGGATCTTTTAATTACATTGTGTAGCTACTTAAAAAAAAAATTATTACCAACTCCGTATCTAATGTTACTGTATCTAGTCTTTGCACATTTACATTTGATCAAATAATGATCACTCATTAATCAAGTGTTTATTTTCTTTTAAAAAAGATGGGGTTAAAGATTTCTTTCAAATATACGTCATATGACTTACTTTTTTATATTATACATTTATTACATTTATTATATTTATTATATTTATTTCATTTTATTACATTTATTACATTTATTATATTTATTTCATTTTATTACATTTATTACATTTATTACATTTATTTCATTTTATTACATTTATTACATTTATTTCATTTTATTACATTTATTACATTTATTAACAACTAACCAACTAAAATGCACGTTTCTCGATCCGACCACAGTTATTAACCAAAAACATATAGTTCTAGTATGTTAACCTAGTTTGTTAATATACCAGCTTGCGCCTCATTCTATTAATAAATGTGGCTTCTATTTTAAGATATTTGATGGCTCATGGCGAAAAGGCTTCTACGTAATATTACTTTAATATTACTTTGTAGGAAAATTTTAATATCCTATTTTTTTTTTTTTTTTTTTGTATGGAATCTTGGCTGCATATATTAATACGAAAACTTTATGTGTTTTGATATTTATGGTTCAATTTAATTATGACTATGACTATCTTATTATTAATACGTACAGAATCAAGATCTCTTCTTTTGATTAATTTTGCTTAAAAAGTGTAACAAGGAAATTTTTGAGTTCATTGTTACACTTTGTTATTTAATCGTTCTAGCATGTGCCATTACATCAATGCGTGAAGGCTAAATTGTGTGGGGTTTGTTGATATTCAAACATTAACACACAACCATTAGATTAATAGCATTTACTAAAGTAAATATGACACAAATACAGAAAAATTTATTTAAATATTTCTGCAATTGTTTTTCGGAATATTTTATGCAACTCGGTCATTCAAATCACCAAGAATTTTTTTGTCCAACAGGATCATTATCCGTTTGGTTAGTATAATGTCTTCCGTTATTCTGTTCGTAACTCGGTACCCTATGCAGCCTGGGACTTCTTAATTAGAAAAGATCTACTAAATAATTACATTTAGTTTCCAGATTTCAATACGTTGTCCGTACCCAGCATCAACTCACCGCACGGGCCAATGCACCGCCATATTTCTTTGTAAAGCTAGTTAAATTACCATAAAAATCATTAAAACGATGCAATCTCTGAAAGTATTCCTTCCCATCTTTATTTAACAATAATATCTTTGTGTGACCCGAATTATCAATTTCATTCAATCTGATGAATTTTTATTGGCTAATATATCGGATATCACTGATATCACATGACTTTTAACGAAACGGAAAAAAGTGAACTATGCCGATCATCTTAATCATACTTGGGTAAATTTATAAATCCTGCAAATCCTGCTCATTTGTTTCGGGTAATAATTATATCGTATTGCGGGGTGTGAATTATTATTCTTATTGCGAGGTGTGAATTATTATTCTTATTGCGAGGTGTGAATTATTATTCTTATTGCGAAGTGTGAATTATATATATAAATATATATATATATTTTATTATGGTAAGATATTCAACTATCTGAACTATCTGCAGGAAAACAAAAGTTGCGCCAAGAGCTATTAATAAACTTGTTTTATTAATGTCACTAAATACGCACCAAATTTCTTTTTTAAGTTTCCTTAACTTATTTAATAAAAACATCAGTTAAAAAAAAAATCCATTATATAATTTTTGTATTACTGTATTTATATTATAATCGGTTTTCGACGTTATCTATAGTTACTCAACATTTCCGATTTTATGGCGTAAGAGTCTGACATTTTTTGATATACCTACAATTAAAATACTGATCCCTTGTACG